CACAATTCCCCCTCCACCCAAATACTTCACCACTGACCGAATCGAGTCATTTACCACAACCCCAGCGTCCCTATTGCTCGGTCACGCCGTGGCTCTCCCAGCAAACGCCACCCGCGTCCCTGGAGCGAAGAACCCACGGCGGTGCTCGGTCCCGGCTCGGTCCCGACGATCCTGGGGATCTTTTCCGAGCTAATGGATTCTGCGGAACCAGCGCTAACACGGGGCCGCCGCGCATCACTGCCCCGGCCCGCGGCACCCCTGCCCTGCCCACGCCGGCTCCCAGGGGCTTTGTCCGCGGCACACCGACCCTTCCCCGGCAGGACGGCGCTCCTCGGCCGCCGCCGACCCTGCTCCGAACCGGGCGGGCAGCGAGCGGCAGAGCCGCGCCGTGCCCTGCCCGCGGAACCGCCCTCAGCCCCGGGAGCGGCGTTAAAGGGCAAACCGGCGGCCGGCCCTGCCTCGGTCCCTGACTCACCGGCGCTGAGGGCGGCGGCGGCGATCAGCAGCCACGCCGCGCAGGGCCGCCCCGCGCTGCCTCCGCCCGCCGCCATCTTCCAGCCGCCGCCGCCTCCCCGCGGCGCCCTCATTGTCCGCCCCCGGGCCCCGCGGGCCCGCCCCCGCCCCCTGCCCCGCCCGCCCATTGGCTGCTGCTGCTGCCAATCACACACACCCCCCGCGCACCGCTCGCCCCGCCCACGCCCTGCCCCGCTGCTCCACGGCGATTGGACAAGGCAGCCATCAGTCAAGTCCAGGTGACCTATGGGCGCAGGGAAGGCACTGTCCCGCCCCCCCAGCCGGGCGCGTCGCTGGCGCCCCGCCGCGGCCGGCCGGCGGTGCTGCGGAGGGCGCGGGCGCCGCGGGGCCGCTCCCGGGCGGTGCATCCCGGGGGTCGCAGAAACGCTGAGTCACAGAATCGCCCGGTCCGTGAGGCCGGAAAGGACCTGTGAGACCATCGAGCCCAACCCATGACCCAACACCACCGTGCCAACTTGACCGCGGCACTGACTGCCACGTCCCGCCTTTCCTTAAGCACCTCTCCAGAACATCCCTGGGTGGCCCATCCCAATGTCTCATCACGCTTTCTGTGAAGAAATTCCTCCGAATGTCCAACCTCAACCTCCCCTGGTGCACCTTGAGGCCACATCCTCATATCCTGTGGCTGGTTCCCTCGGAGAAGAGACCAAACCCCACCTGGCTCCTTTCAGATGGTTGTAGAGGGCAATAAGGTCATCCCTAAACCTCATTTTCTCCAGGCTGAACACCCCCTGCTTCCTCAGCCACTCCTCACAGGGCTGCCTCGAGCTCTGGCACTGCCCGACAGTTACCCTGCAGTGCGGGAAGCTTATCCAAGTGCCTTTGGAGGCATGCTACCAACCATGCCAGCTGGCACTGAACCTGTCTGGACAATCACTGACAGCCACAAAACTGACAGTCACTCCAGTGGAGCTGTGCTTCCCGCAGTCAAGATCACCCAGGAGCTGTGGGGTGACTGTGCCCCATAAGGATTCATCACTGTGGTGTGTGGTGTGGTGTGGTGTGGTGTGGTGTGGAAGTCTCCACATGGAAGTTCTGCATCACTCGCCCAGTTTCCAGCAGGCGAGTGCCAGCAGGAGCAGATCCCGGTGCTCACGGAGTGCCCCAGCCCCTCTGCCAGCCTCGAGCTCCCCTGGGTGCACGTTATGGCGCCGGTTTGTCCCAGGGGAAGTGGGAGTGTGCTGCTGCAAGCTCTGAGTGAAGACAGTGCTGCTTCCTCCTGCATCCACAGAAATCCTGCCTGTTGTTCCCTGCTAATTCAGAGAACCTGTTTCGGCGTGCACTGCCTGTAAGCACAAGCTCCTTCAGAAGCTCTCCTGCTGCATCAATCGCACATCCACCTTTGCCTTTCGCCTGAAAATACCTGCTTGGAATTTCCCTCGGCTTGCTGACTGGACTCCCAGCTGCTACACGCCCCCTGAGCCCAAGCTTTTATCCTTCCTTCTTCCTCCTGCCTTCTGAGCACCCTTTGTTGTGCCGTGTTTTCCCAACCATGCATTTTAAAGAAGTTGCACAAGCTGAGTCATATCTCAAGGCTATTGCTCACTGCATCCCTGAGCCTCCAGAAGCCTGGAGGTGCTCTGCTCATGCCCAGTGCTCCATTGATGCTGATCCTTGCCCAGATCCCTGTGCCACCAGTTTCTCTGCCACTCTCTGGACACCGCATCACATCTGCAAGTGAAAGGCCACAGGAAAGGCCACCGTGTGCCATGGAGAGGAGGGCTGTGGCAGATTATTTTCTTCCCAGCTGTGATGCCAGACACCACCTTAAAATTCTCCTGGGATTTAAAATGTAACAGCTTGTGCATCCATTATTTATACCCTAAGGGGAAGCTTTGGAGCACATTCCTCATCTAGCTGTTGTACATGTTTTCTAGAAACCCAGACTAGCAGAAATCCAGGGCACCTCTTGGGAATAAATATCAACACCACAGGCAACTCTTTGTATTACAGGGAAATATCACCTTGTTTGGTTAGCACCTCATTTAACTTCCCTTGTGGGTGGGTCTTTAGCCAATTCATCAATACCCCAAATGGAGCAGAAACTGATAGGCAGTGTTAAGACTTTCTTTCCAAGCCCGTTTTCCTCAATACTTCCTCTGAGCTCTTTCCTTCCATGGAAGCTCCACCCAACCTTACAGCTCTCCTGGGCGGCTGGAAGTGCTCTTTACCAGCATGGAACCACCTCAGTACTCAAAGTTCACTGTTTACCTCCAGGTCCTTCAGTACTGCACAGTTTAAAACTGTCCAGTCCTTTGAAGAGGCCATGCTTCACCCTTCTGGGTAATTTTGCAAGATAGTAAACCTATTTTTTTTTTAATGGCATTTTTCATATTCTTAATATGACTGTCCTTCACAAAGCTCACATGTTCTCTTTCTGTGTACTAAACCTGATTTGGCCACACACAGCCCTTACCTACACTGTCCCTTTCCTGACAGAGCTGAGATCACATTGCCACAGGAACAGCCCTGACTTCCCTGTTTGTTTTGTAATAACACAGATGTTCAGTACAGAGAACACTGGGACAATAGCTGGTCTACTTACAGCAGAAAATTCTGTATCCAGATAGATATGATCAAATTACTCTCTTCTGCTACTTTCAGAGAGGAAACAGGGTGCTGGGACAACCTAATTTGTCCCAAGGAACATATATTGCATCTTCTTCCCTCTTGCAGTGTATGTTAGAAATTCAGACCTTTGTTATCCTTTGTTTTGGAGAGGTCTCTAGTAGCTTGCCACAGAGAGCAAGCGAAATTTTGGTGTTAAAAAAAAAGGGGGATAGTAACTTCTAGGAGGGGAAGAAAATATATTTAGGCTGATTTTGCATTTATAATGGTTTTGATTGTTTTCTCTTTAGCCTGCATCTCTGTACATCCCAGAGGAATTGTACAGTATACACTGTTTAGTGTGCAAAGATATGCACTCCTGTAAAAGAATATCCCACCCAACACACTCATTTTGAATTAGTAATAGAAGAACATGAGAGAAAAAGTTAAAAAACAGGCTCTATTTGCACAAGAAAGTATTGTGTGTCCCTCACAGCAATCTTTTTTCTTCTGCAGTTGGGAGAAACTGTGACTAGCAGATAAGACCACGTTCATGTTTATATTGGTTAAATAGAAACGCAGGGTTTTTTTCAAAACTCAAGAGCTGGCAGCAGCACAGTAATTGCATACAGACTTTGAAGAGTTTGGGAACTATTTTTCACAAGAGTCAGTGTTGTTGAGGCTGGAAGGGACACCTGGAGATCACCCAGCCCAACCAACCCTTCTGCCAAGGCAGAGTCACCTTGAGCATATTACACAGAGAAATGTCCAGGTGGGGTTTAAATGGTTCCGGAGAGGGATAATCCATGACCTCCCTGGACAGCTGTTCCAGTGCTCTGGCCCATTAGCACAAAGAAGTTCTACTTTGTGTTGAGGGGAACTTTTTGTGATTTAGTTAGTGGCCACTGCTCCTCATCCTGGCACTGGGCACGACTGAAAAGAGCCTGGCACCATGCTCTTGCCACCTACTATTGAGGTATTTATACATATTGATGAGATCCCCTCTCAGTCTTGTCTTTTTCATCATTTGATTGAGAAGAATGTCTTGGATCACCCACTTTGCAAGGGTAAGTGTTCTCAGGAAAACTTAGGACAGAAAAGGACGGGAATGATGAACTATTCCAGCACTGAATGGATGCTAAAGAACAATTTCAGTCATGATAACCTTTCTTGATAACCTTGATACATAAAAAAGCACATAAAATGGAAGGAATTTGTCTTCCTGTCTTTTCCTCCTACCTTTCCCCCAGCTTCTTGGAATATATTGGACTCTAGGCAAAATTAGTTTAGAGGCTGTTACTGTAGAGGTCCAAGGTAACAGTGACCTCCACCCTGACCAACACCAGCGTTCCAAGACTCGCTGTTTAAGCAGATAAAGCAGGTCTGCATAAAACCATCATCTGTAAGTTAGGAAAGTAACGTTGCCTCTACTCGGCTGTGGCACAGTTTGAAATTATGGAGCTGAACCAGGAGTTTCCCCTCACCGCTCTGGGGCTTGCGGCCTGGCTGCGCGCAGCGTACGAGCAGCTTTCGCACCCGCAGGGAGACAGGGGAGCCCGGGGAGAGCCGGCAGCCACAGGGAAGCGCCTGTGCCCCTCAGGAACAGGGAAGACCGCGGGAATCGCGCCGGATGGAACTGTCCCGGGCAGGGGGCTGCGCGACGCCACCGGAGCGTTCCTCTACAGGGGAGAAGGAGCGCTTTCCATGGTGGCTCGTTGGTCTAGGGGTATGATTCTCGCTTAGGGTGCGAGAGGTCCCGGGTTCAAATCCCGGACGAGCCCGTGTTTTTTTTTGCTCTTTTATTTTCTTCCTTCTCCGCAGCAGCGGTGGCTCCCGCACACAGCGAAGGGACACGGCGGGGGCTAACAAAGAGCCCCGCTCGTTCGTCTTTAGTGCAAGAAAAAGCTTTAAGAACTCACCGACGACCGGCCGCTCCTCGCTCCTCTTCGTCTGGCACCGAGCGTCGCTACTCTCATTTTTCCCAGGCAGGCTCCCGCCTTCCTCCTCACCGAGAGAGCGCTGGGGGGCCGCTCCTCGCCCATGCAAGCGGTCCCAGCTCGGCACACCGTCCCGGCCGCAGCGCCGTCCCCGCGGCGCGGTCCCACTGCGGGCGGGCTTCAGGCGCAAAAGCGCAGGAGGGCCCGCGGCGGCAAAAGGAGGAAGGGGGCTCGCGCATCCCTTCCCGGCGGGCTCGTCCGGGATTTGAACCCGGGACCTCTCGCACCCGAAGCGAGAATCATACCCCTAGACCAACGAGCCGCTCTGCTGGTGCTTTCCCAGCTCAGCACTTCACTGCCGTCCCGCCTCCTCCCGCCCACGTCGCCTCCACCGGCGCCTGTGTGGGTCCGTCCTTGCCGACCACCGCCAGCGGCTTTGCCCAGCGCTCCGGAGCGCATCGCTGCTCTCTCTCAGTGCATGGAACCGCGGGGGCTGCGGCCATTTCTCCCTGCTCGCCCCTCCGTCTCCTTTCCCAGGGTAATCCCTGGCATCGCCCTTCCCCCGACCCTACGGCTCCGCTCGTTAGCGACGGCTCCGCGTCCCCGCGCGGGGGGCAGCGGCCCGCGCGGCGCTCCGCTGCTTTCCCTCGCGCAGATCCCGCTCCCGCGCTCATCCGAGGGGCGCAGGGACAACCCAGCCTTCCCATTCCACTTCCACTCCCACGCCCGCGGTGGCGCTGGAAGCCGGGCGAGCTCGTTCCCAGGGGACGGGGAGGCGGAGGAATGGGACAATCCAACGCCCCCCCCCCAGCGGGTTTGGTTGGTGCCGGGCCGCGCCGTGCGCTGCGCCCCCTGGCGGTGCGGAGGGGTCACACGCGTGTCCCGGGCGCGCTCGGAGCCTCCCGGGGCTCGCCCACGGGCGGGACCAGCGCCCACGGGAGCCACAGGCATCGCCCCGCGGTTCCGAGCCCGCAGCACCCTCCTGGTTTGAATCCCGCTTGCCCCCGATGTGCTCCGTCCTGCTAATGCTTCCTGGCATCCTCATGTTTCCATGCCTTTGCATCCCAGAGTTTTATAAAAAAGGCCTATTCCTCCCTGTTCCGCAGTAGTTCCTCCCTATTCCTCATATTAAATTTAAATTTTGAAGTCCTAATGCCAGTGGAATTCTCGCCCCTTTTTTTTTGCCTGCTGCTATCAGTTCTGCCCATTCTTTCTCAGGTTTCTTCATTTCTCCAGCAGGAAACAAAAGACACAGATTTTTGGTTTGCTTTGGTTTATTCCACCATTTATTTATCCTATTTCTCCCTCGGAATTTCCATTCCCGTGCTCGGGACACACATACACCTTCTCTACACAGGCACACATATATCTGTATGTACAGTAAGGCACAAGCACTCACATCCAGATGGGACACTCTGCTGAGAGAAGAAATGGGGGGCAGCCAGTGATAGCAGCCTGCCCTGGAATACATGCTACAGCAAGCAGATTAAAATGGATTCAAAGGCAACAATGCTCCACAGCATGGCTCAAAAGGCTGTGGAGGTCGTGTTTGCCAACAAGCCCATGATAATTAAGGAGAGCAAGTGCTGCTGGCTCTCAGCAAGTGTGGCCTCAGTTCATGCCACAGTATGGATATTTTGTTCTGTGTGGCCAACACAGCTTCAAGCACTAATGTCAGGAAACTGGTCAAGTGAAGGTCTGACATCCACCTTCCCCCAGACAGTCTCCAGATTTAAATCATTGTGACTGCTAGCCCATGACTTTCAGTAGCCCAAGAGTGAACGCAAATCTAGTACAGGGCATAAGTATTTTGGAGGGACTGGCTGCCTGAGCTTTGCGAATTCAGCCAGGCAACGCCACTGGAAATTCAGCCAGCTAAGACTTCATCTTTGATATGCACAAAATTAATTGGCTGTTTCCAGGAAGCTGGGATGCTTTCTATAAGGAGTGGCTCTTAGTGGACACAACAGAAGTTCCAGAACAGACTGGGTAGGGTTTGGAAGTGAGAAATACTGATGGACAAGCAGCCCTTCTAAATCTGGACTGGAGCCTAGAGCCAGATAAGAGAACCTGCCCTACTGACCTACTCAGCACATCTTTTCTTTGCATACAATCTGCTGGTTGTCATTTTCCACCGCACTAAAAGCACCCCAAAGCTGAAGCACACAAGACCTATCAGCCTACCACAGGTGGCTGTTTCACAGATTAGCCCCATTTCAAAGGGATTTTATTTTTATATTTTATATTTATATATTTTTATGATCAATGTTCTAGGAGTTTTCCCCATGTTCAGAGTTCACATTGTCTGCCATACAGCACATATGGAGAAAACATAACTTTTTGCTATTATTATAACATTATTTACTGAAGTTTTAAAACCCAAAGTCCTTTAAAAGAAGCTACCAAAAAGGCACCATACATGTATTATATACGTAACTGATGAAACTTCATCTAAGACCAATGCAGGGGAGAAGAAAAAGACATTATGGAGCAGGATGAAGAAGCAGAAGGACCATGAGTGGTGATGGCTGTTGCTCCAGGACAGTAGGTATCAGGTCTCTCAGTCCCCAAATATCACCAAGCAAGGCCAGCCAACACCTGAGTTTTGAACCCTGAAGAGATCACAAACACTCTCCTCTTCCAGTTGTCCCAAAATATGATGGTGCAAAGCAGAGAGCCAGCAAGTGGCCACTCAGCTCTGTGATGAGTCTGGACCTCAGGAGATTTCTGCATTCTGCTCCTCTCCTGCCACTGAAGGGTTTCCAGTACCTTCCATCTCGACTGAGTTAGATGGCTCCTGTCCACATGTTAAGTCTCCTCTGCCCTGATTGGGTGTGTCCTTTTGAGAGGGGAAAATAAGTGAGGAAATAATGAAAAATAATCATGGGTCTAAGCAAAGACAGCGGTGGGAAGTCCTGGGGGTACTTTGGTGGTTTCTGTACTAGGAGGCAAAGGTGAGCTGCAGCCTGACCATGGGAATCCTTCCTTTAGCTGCTCCTTGCCAAACCAAGGAAGTATTTGAAGAGGAGGTGGTTGAGGTGGGACAAGACACATCCTCAGGCATCTGTGGCTATGTTATCAGTGGTTACAGAAAACACATGAAGGTGCATGGAACAAGGCCTGCTTCAGCCAGTGGAAATCCTCTTTTATTTCTATGGCAAAGGACCATGCTTGCAAGCTTTCAGAGCTGATTGTGAAATTGGTGTGCCATGGGTTTGCTGGCAAAGCTAACAAGCTAAACACATTGGGAATATATATATATATATATATGTATGTACACATGTATACATACAACATGTGCACACATATAAATATTTATATGTAAGGAGTCATATTGATACAGTGTATACATGGTTACTGCTGGGGAAATGTGCATTTTACTGCAAGTACTTTCATATTGCTTTCAAAACAGCAATGCAGGAGGGTGCCTGGGGAGCAGAGCCTCTCCTTATACTGAATCCACAATCAGCTTTGCTTCTTTTCCATCTCCTCTGTAACACCACCCAGGAGGGCTGGTCGTTTTGAGTACCCTGCCTCATAGTCTCTGCAGGCCTGAGATCTGAGGGTTTTGACATGTGGGGAGCAGCAGAATTGTTGTTGTGTTCTGTCACAGTTGCCATTTTTGCTAACAGCAAAACCCTCAGGTGCCTTAGGAGACGTCATTACGCTGGCCCATCTTACCTGTGTGTCACAGCTATGCTGTGCCCTGGTCCTGCGTGACTGACACTGAAGGCTCACTGGCAGTCCCTAATCCCACTGCATCCTGCAGTGGTTCAGGTGCCAGTGCTGTTTCTTCAGTGTCTGATGTTCTCTGTGTGTCTGTGCTCTCACTATTCTCCTTTGTTTCAGCTTCAGCTTCATCCTTCTCCTTGTCTCCCTTTCCTTGTTCACAGGCAGTGCTTTGCTGCTCTTCTCCCTGGGGACTGTCACACATCTCATTGTTTCCAGAAGGAGGCTGAGAAGAGTTCTCCTCTCCTGGGCCATCATGACACACTTCCTCCTCTTTTGTATTCCCTGTGTTATTCTTGCAAGGAGTAATTTCCTCTGCTGTTTTTTTCCCCTTTTCCCCATCTTCTGATCTACTGGATCCTCTCCTTGACAGGGGCTTCTCATCAGACTCTGCCTGTTTCTTCTGCTCTTTGTTCTCTTTTTCTTCATCCTCTGACCTGCTGGATCCCGTCCTTGATGCTGGCTTCTCATCAGACCCTGCCTGTTTCTTTTGCTCTTTGCTCCCTGTTTCTACTTCTTCTGTCTTGCCATTGGGCCCAAAGACCTCATCTTCCCTGGCACCATTTTCTGGAGAGGACAAGTTAACCCCTAAATCTTCCCCATCTCCATACTCTGACAGAGATCTTCGGAACCTCCGTGAGGGAGGCCGGCGCTTTATCGATCCTCGTGTCCGCACCTGGGAGGCAGGAAAAGCAGACATTGAAGCAGTCAAAAGAGTGGTAATGGAAAGCAGGAAAGCACAACAGAGGAAAATGCCACTGGATGTACCAGCCTTTTCTAGGCAGATTGAGGAAGGAGTCTGTACTCCAGCTGGGGATGGTGAATGCAGGTTATAGCTCCTCACTTAAGTGCTGAGCACTCTGGTGACACCTGAGAAGCTGCCGTGCTCTGTGTGGCTCCCTAAACTGAGCCTCAGCCACCTCAGACATTTGCTGGCATGTGGCACCACCTGCTCAAAGCACTCCCTGGCACCAGCCACCCTGTTATTGCTGAGCTGAGGTGACTACGTCCTGCCCCTCCATCCCTTCTTCACACACTGGGCTGGGAAGGCTGCTTGGCAGGCAGAGAGGAGACCCCACACAGATACACTGAAGGGCTGTTTGGAACCTGGTGCACAAATCCTCCCTCTTACTCACAAACACACACTCTTACAGTGGGACTGAGGGCTCAGCCTCCTCTTCCTCTTCATCCCCAAGCAATAAGCCAGCCTTGTGGAATGGAGAAATCCTAGCATATATACCCTACCTTGTTGTAGAACTGCAGCTGTGTGCTTTCTGGGGGCTGATCAAAGCTGACTGGTGTCTCGCTGGGCTGGGACTGAGTCCCAGGGCTGGTGGGCGTTGAGGGAGGTGTGCTGAACGGAGAAACCAGGACCTTCATCCCAGGGCTTTTGGGAGACACTCCCGGCAGCAGAGCAGCTGGAGCAAAAGCCAGATTGGCCTGCAATGAAAAACCCCCATTAGGGGCATGTGGGACAGCAGCATGTGCTACACATGACAGCCACACAGGGGAACCCCTGCCCTGCCACATCTCTCAGCTGTCACAAGCCACAGATCTGGTTGTGGGTTCCTCCTGGTGACACTGTCAACAAACAAGTCTGGGCAGAGAAGTTATGACTGGACATTTGTTTTTCCCTGGCAGCTGGAACCTCAGGACATGTTCTTTTGTCATCCTGCGGCCTTTTGGGATTTTCCAGTGACCCAGCCAATACACCACAGTCTGCAGTGGCTGAGCTGGCAGAAAATCTGAACAAGCAGACAGCAATCACTTCAAGATTTAAACCCTCCTGCATGTGCCCAACCAGAGCTTGCATTTTCCAGCCTGATCTGCAGGTCTTGCAGAATGACCTGTGCAGTTGTGAGAAGACCATGGAAAGCAGTGAGCTTGTGATTAACTGTGGCAAAACACAGTGCTGGCCTCTCACTGAGAAGCTCCCCTAGGCAAATGTCCTTGGGTGCATCAGGAGGGACAGTGCTATGAATAGGCTCAGGGTTGTGTCGGGGTGGCCAGGAGGCTCTGGGGTGACACGTGCTGCCAGGACAGGCGGCTGGCAGGGGCAGGGCACTCTGTCTTCAGGCCATCGAGTGCTGAGCTGCCCTCAGCAGCACAGATCAGGCACCAGAGAAGCATAAAAAGGGCAGGAAGGGCTGGGTGTGTTTGTGTGTAGCTGCAGGAATCCAGATGAGGGAAGGGAAGTGCAGAGCTTCCAGGCACACACATGGGACAGCCAGAGCCTGGAGCACATGCCCCACTGCCAGGATTGTCACTGCCTGTGCTAGAGGCTAGCTCCCTGGTGGAGTGCAGGGAACTCAAGGGAGTGACACTGCTGTGAGGAAAGAGCTGGAGGAAGTCTCAGCCAGGGTTTCCCTCACTTTCTCTCAAGAGCTGCACCTAAACTGAGGCTCCTGTCGCTGCTCAAGCAGCGTTGCTGCCATGCCCATGCTAAGCCATGTACTCCACAGATCCAAATGATCCTGATCCACGCACTGACTGGGGATCACTGGATTTATTCTGGTGCCCATTACCATTGCCAGACCTCCTCTGCCTTCCTCTTTTTTTGTGGTGGGGCTGGTTTTTCCCCAGTGAGGCCCTGTTTACCAGGCTGTCACCCCTGGCTCCTGTATCCCCTTCCCATCTGGGTGCTCAGCAAGGGAAGCAGCTATGACCAATGCCAATCAGTTTCAATTTGCCAGGACCTACCTGCAGCTTTTCAATCATGGGTGAACTTTTCACCTTGACCTTAGGAATGGGGCAAGCATTTGGTGACCGCTTCTGCAAAATAAAATGAAGTAGGAGAATGTCACAGTGTAGTAGGTGAAAAAGAGAAAATACATAAAGGCAGAAAACTTGGAAGAGATAAGCAGAAACTGCTTGTAGGGAAACTAATGAAGCTTCATATAGTGTTCCAACACACAAATTTATTTTTCTTCATTCCTGACCCCACTCTCCTTTTGCCATCTAGCCATCCTAGGGCTAGATACATGTACGCTCCTCTGGGCAAAAAGGGCTGCTGTCTGAAGTTCTGAGTTAAGTGATGCGTGATGGCTCTGCTCCTACATTGACTTCACTAAGGTATCAAGCCTGTGGCAGTTTCCCCTGGTATTATTTCAGGACCAGGCAGATTGAAATTCTACCTCTTAAAGCCATAATGTTGGCAAATATTGTGAACTTTCTGTAACAGGAAAGACTTTCTGCCACCACTTGAGTAACCAAGTTAAAGGATATCCAATTAGTATAAGCAGGAAGGGACTAAATGGCAGGAAAGGTAGAACTATGAAAAGGCTGGAAGCAGTTTGAGAAAGAGAGCATTGCTTTGAGAAGGGGCATATTGCTTTTTTCAGAAAAGGAAAGAATCTAACATTTTAAAACTTAATGTTCCTTTAGCATGGAGACAGCAAGAGCCTATAGCTCACAAATAAGAAGGACAAAGAACTACCTGATTGTTAAGGGCAGGAGAGAATGTGATATTTGGTGGGTAGACCTCATACCCTGCAATACTGAAGGACAGAAGTGACCAAAGAGGGCCTGAGTGTAAAATTTCGTAAGTAGCAGCCAGCTTACTGGGACCTGCTCATTCAAGGGTCCTAAAGAAATATTCAGTGGGTATTGCAAACAAGCCCTCTCTTCACTCTGGATTAATTTCCTTTTTCTGAAGATGGAAAAATCTGATGACCAGAACTATTACCCCATTATGCTCAACAAACAGCGTGGGTGCTCCCTGTTCAACTCCAATAAATACCAGTGGTTCCTGAACAGTGGTAACTGGATGGATCCATCAGTGTGCCAAGGGTGAAAACAAAAGCAGTAAAAATGGGCTGTGAATCCCTGCTACAGGAGCAGGGAATAGCATGGAGCTGACTCTGGGTCAGTACATGTGTGAGAGCAGGGACAGGTTTGCTGCTGGCTGATTGATGACTTTGCACAGCCTGACCCCTCTGCCACCTCCAAATTCATGTCTCAGGAGAGAACAGGCTGCAGAGAGGAAAAACCTTGTTCCCTTATTAAATTGATACTCACTTGCTCATCATTGTCACTTGTCTCAGTTTTGTGGGAATACAAGGGAAGGGAGCAGGGTGGTTTCCTCCGAGTTGGCTTATGTGGTGGTACCTAAGAGAAGAAAACAACCAACTCAGCAGCAGGGAAATCAGGTATCTTAAAAAGGAAGTGAAATTCAAGTACCAAAGGGCATGCTGTGTGAGTGACCTGCTCATGAGGCAGGACTCAGCCTGCCCAAATGACTCATCCAAAGGCAGCAAAAGATGGAGTAGCACATGGCTGTGCTTATGGCATCTAGAGACCTAGTGTTGGAAGAGTAGCTTGTATCTCTTTCTTTGTGCAACAGACACGCTTCTAAGCTGGGGAGGGTGGAGAAGCCTTCCCAGAAACTTTGCCTGCAAAGCATCCTCCTGGAAACCCCTTCACACTGGAGAGGTTCTTACTGTTCCCTTTCCTGTCATTACCAGGATTTCCTTTAAATGAGTCTCAGCTGCCTGGTTTGTGATTTCCTACTTTATGTCTGATATATTTTTGGGGCAAAAAGGGGAATTCTGACTTTCTCAGAATTTCAGTCCCATTAGTTTCTATTGAGTGCATAAAGCAGTGCACAGGGACAAGGCCTCAGCTGCAACCTTAAATTTGACTAAGAAGCTAACTGTCCAGAGGAGAAGGAACAAAAAAAACTAGTGGCAGGGACACTGATTCCTTCTGAATGTCACTGGACTCTCAGAACTGAGAGAGAGTTCCCTAGGAAGGAAGGGATGCATATACCTATTGCTTTGGTCTTGCAGCCAGGTCTTTTTATGCCAGGTTTGTAGTCTTCTGCCAAGATGTTAACACACTTTTCATGTGTTAAAAGAAATAATCCAAACTAACTGGCTAATATCTGGAATGTTGGATAATATCCACAATAAAGTATTTGCATAATTTTGTTACCTTCTCACAGGCTGGCTGTGAAAAGTTGGATTATGGCATCTTTGCCCTCTGTAGTTGGCTGTCTTGGAGGACCTTTGGACCTGATGTCACTTAAAGTCTGGAGGTGCTGCACCCAGGCATGGAACTGCTGCACCTCTAAGGAGCCCAGGGCAGCCCTGCCCTTATCCTTGTGTCATACCAGGAAACAATAAGGTGTCTTGTGGAAACCCCACCATTCTGCAACCATGAAATGCTGCACTGTGCTACAGTGGATGTGCCAGAGGTTCCCTGGTTGACAGGATTCCCCTCTGCTGGCATGGGGCACGCAAGGGTTAAAGACTGTCCCTTGGGTCATCAATCTGAAGCCAGCCTGAGAAAGCTGGTGGGGAAGTGACAGATGGCTTGCAGAGAAAAGACAGGAAACTTTGTCCTTCTCTGTCTCTGGAGAAAATGAGTTTCTCCACACTGTGAGGCCCCTCCACACTGCCCTAGCTTGGGAGCAGCAGAGGTCTGTAGATAACACAGGAGAGGTCTGGGAACTTTCTGACTTCTGAAGGGTGAGGGCCTTAGTGCACTTAAATCCCATACCTTCAAAAGAGGAAATTACTGTAATGGGACAGATGAAGTGGTGTGCTGGCAACTGGAGGGGAAAAAAAAGAGTGCTTGGGAAAGGACTGGCTATTCCCATCCTGGGAGTGCTAAACTCTGATAGATGATGGCATGCCAGCCCTGCAGGGCAGAGGTCACCACTGCATCCAACCAAAGACAGGAGGAGTGACAGGGAGGATACCCTTAGGCCAGACTGGGATCCGGAGAGGAGTGGCAGAAGGGAGCAGCTCAGTTTCAAAAGGTGCCTGAAAAGGGCCACCAGCAAACATTTATGCTTCTAAAAGAAAAAGGCATCATGATATAGAAGGCACTCTGAAAATATCCTCCTTTCATAAAAAAACCTGACTTTCCCTTCTTCCTAAGAGAGGTATTCTAGTGTTTTGCTTAGCTGGAAAAAGTCAGCATGTGAGACAGTGTTTGGCATAGTGGGATTTCATTAAAATAGAGTTCAGCATGATAGAGATAGGCACAGAGTCTGAAATATCATTGGGAAGAGGCAATGAAGGTGAGTAAAGAGGCAGCTTTCTCTCAGACCTACACAGAAGTAATAACCTGGAGGAAACTTACTTTTGTGAACAATGCGCTGATGACATGCCACTGGCTGCTACACTGCATTATCTGTTGCTTGTTTCTTTTCCCATCAATATTGGCTATTTCATGATTTATTGCTGCTGTCTGCCCACAAAAGCCAGCCCAAATAGGACATGCCTGCACTGCTATCTGCTGCTGTTGCATAAATCTGTGCACCTTACCAAGCTCTGCAATGTTTTGGTTAGTGTCTGTCCCAAGACACGGCTCTAGCAAAACACTCATCCACTAATCAGCAATTCATGGAAGATACAGCCACGGCTTACATTGCACGAGGAGATGAATCCTTTGTGCAGATCCAAAATCAAGGTGGATTCATGTTCAGATCACTGATGTTCCAGCAGGAAGAGACAAGTGATTAACTTCCCACTCGATTTCCTACTGGTGGCTGCAGAGCACCTTACCTCTTTTCCAGGGATATTTGCTGCTTGCTCTTTGAACTTCCCTGCTAGCTGAGCCACTGAGGGTGATGCCGACTTGTCCACCTCTGAGTTGGTCTCTGCTGGCCTGTTCTGACAAACCAGGAACAAGAGGTTGTGAGTGAAGGGTGGGAAAAACAAGCCTGTATATGTGTTGCAAAGTTCAAGAGTAAGCAAGGACTTGAAGCAGAGTTTCTCATATCTGGCATCAATCAGCCAGCCTGAGAGCAAGAGGTTTGGGAAGACAGGATTTAGCAGCATTTTAAAATATCCCAGAAAATGAGTAATTCATGCAGAGCCTTTCAGCTCCAGTTGAAGAGCCTACATTCAGTACTTTTCAATGGAAGCAAACCAGGTATCTCGGGCCAAGTGTCTGTTCCTTTTGTCTTTGCAGTGAGCAGATGGAGCAGGCAGTAATGTACATTCCCATACACATCCTCAGCCCTCTCATACCCTTGTTACTGCCCTGGTCACCATCAGTCTTGCTTTTTCAGTGATTCTGCTGTGAGAAGCCATTCCCAGTCCTCACAGCAAACCAACATCTGCTTGGAGATGTGTCCCTTGCTGTTCTGCTTTTTTCTCAGTGAATACTGAGGCACGTGGGGGGGAGGAAGGAGGAAATACCATGGCTGAGTGAAGTTTCCACTCCCCTGGGCTGACAGCAGGCTTGTGCTGGAGTCTGGATGATGCAGCTCTTCCCACACCACACTGCCCTGGTGTCATCCCACATTCACCTTATTTTCTCTGCTATGTGTCTATTGAGCAGTGTGAGCAGAAAGCCTTGCAATCAAAGCTGTTAAAGGAAACCTTTGTTCTTCATCTCTAGGATCTGATGCCGGGGAAACCAAACCAGAGGAACTGAAATAACTAACCAGCAATTGTTATTCCGATTCTGTTAGAGGTGCAGAGCTCAGAACAAAAAAGCAGGCTACGAACCATCTGTAAGGAACCTCACAACTCACAGCTCCCTGTACCACCACCATGAACCCATGACCTGCACCACACTTCTCACCCCAGTGCCTCAGTGCCCTTTCTGCTTGTCACTTTTTGTTTGCATTGTGGAGAAAGACCTTTCCCTTTCTCAAAGACCTGTAATATATACGCCAAATAAATGTTATCTTCTTTTTCCCAGGCCCACAAGCTCCTGTAGGTGTCTGTCATTCCCTGTTAAATTTCCCATACACTTTGGAATAGCTTTCCTGAATCCAAGGAAGTCATATCAAGCTGTCTCATCTCAGTGACCTTCACGCACCTTCCCCTCATCTTTTCACCTTTCACTGGAGTAATTACAGGCAGGGAAAGTGGCAGATAATGGAATGGAAGAAAGAGTGAGGTAAGCAGATCAGCAGGGCAACCTGCTGCACATGAAAAATGATAGCTGGGCTAAGTGGGGAAGAACACCAGTTCCAAGATGCAGGGTGTGTCTCCCTGCTGTGAAGGGAGGGCAGGCTGGAAAGAGGAAGGAGCAAAGAATGAACCTGGAGAATGCAGAATGGACTGGGACGCTTGGCTCATCGTACCAGCTCCCGGGATACCTGGGCATGGCAGAATGGACACCTGAAGTAAAGACTCAGTTGAAACTAAGCAGCTGCAAGTGCTCTGTCTGTGGCAGAAAGGCTGCCTCCCTCATAGTCCGTTTTTCTCCAAGAGCTTCTTTCACAGCCCTTTGCTTTTTCCCAGAAAAGACCCTGAACTTCCTCTTGGCCTCTCTGACCTCTTGTTTTCAGGGTGAATTTTTCCTTTTTTTCTTTTTCTTTTCGCTTCAGGCTGAAAACACAGCTGCCTTTCTTTGATCAGAGCTGGGAGGCCAGCACGGCTCCATGGGTGTCTTGTGCCGGCGGCTCCTGCGGGCGCGGGGCGCAGGAAGCACTGAACATGCCATTCTAAGATTAGCACCAGTGGCCCACGGGGCTGTGTCCTCCAGAAACTGCCAGCTGCAGACTCTCCCATTACGGAAAATAAAGGAGAGGAAAGGATCCTTATTCAGATCCCTTCTGGCAGTTACACTGCTGTGCTGTATCCAGCTTTTTTTACAACTTTTTTTGTGCCCCAGGTGATGTGCCAGGCTCTGTGTCTTCTGGTCAAGGGAAGGTGTTGTATTTGGGTGCAAAAAGTTCCCTTCTTTTCACTGTAAGGAGAACACAATTCCTTTGACTTCTAGGAGCTGGGCTGGCAGTCTCTCTCTCCTCCTTCCCACCACTGTGAGGAAGGTGGGAAGCTTCATTTTATCACTTTCAACCCAGAGTGTGTACCAGCCCTCAGCCTCTTTCACACCTAAGACTAAGACATCTGCTCGATGAGCTCTCACTCCAGAGCTCAGTGCTGGCTCTCTCCTGTCCCACGATATTAATTATGTAATCTTTCCCATTCCTGGCCATGCTGCCCATCTTGGTGGAATAACCCACCGCTATTTTTCTAAATGGTTATGAGAAGTAGCTCAGTTCATTTTCTCTCTCTCTTTTTATTTTATTTTTTCCTTTTCTATAACAGTGAAATTCCTCAGACATGATTTTTGTGCTTTTTGCAGCCAAGTGCTGATTCTTCTCCCTTTCAAAAGAAAAACATGGTCAGCCTGCATGGGCTAAAACCACTGAGCTAAGGTTAAAGGCTTAGTCCATCAGTAATTTGGTGACTCTGAGGTCTTTTACTGTTTCATAAAAATAAGTGTCTAAGCATTGTACATTCTGAGAAATGTCAGACAGAGCTGTAAACAGGAATTTAATTATACCATCAATGTAAGCATGGCGCTGTCTGCAAAAAAAGGAAGTGCAACTACCAAGTTCTCTGTAAGGGGTTTGCTTCACTTTTCCAAATAAGTTTATAAAATTGAGTAAATTTGAAAACAGTTTTCAAAACCATGTTTCTTCATCTGCTTTTAAAACTGAGCCTAGTCTCTGTTAGCAGCTCAGGGGAAGAAAGTTCTGTCTTTATCCGTATCTGAGGTACAAATGTATCAGTTTGAGCCCCCCAAACCTCTCCTTCCTTATGCATCGGAGTTCTTTCCTCTACTGTGAGAGCAGAACTGCCCACTGCCCCCTGACTGCAGATTGTGTGAAGGGAGGCCACTGCTTTTTGGCACAGATCCTTCTCCTGTCACAGGCTGCCTGGGTCCACTGGATCCTCACAGAAATGACCTGCTCCCCTAGGTGCCCACAGAAATTCCCCATCATGTACCTGGTTTGACTCCTGAAAAGAGGAAGGTTCTACTGGCTAAATACCAGCCGAGTAACAGCAGAGATCCATACTTCCCTTATCTCCTTCCCTCCCCTACGAATCCTCTGACTCTCTGCTTTTGGCCACATGGGTCACCTTTTACCTGAGATGCAACACCTCCACAGCACCTTGCAAGGCTGGGGTATTCGGCAGCTATGAAATCAGTGACGGTTACACAATTTTTGGTACTGGTCCTGTGCAACTATCAGCCCAATTCTCATGCAGCTGCATCTAGACATGGTTTTGAGGCCAGTCCCTGATCCCCACGTTTTGAAAACATCCCATTTTCAAAAAAGCTTCACAGGAATGATTCCCTGCAGCCTGTTCTCACACCATCCCATCATGCCAGATCCTGTGCTCACACCAAGCATTGCAAAGATCCCCTGTGACTCTCCTAGGAATCTTTTCATTGCTGCACACACAATCTACCTCAGCAACAGCAAAAACGGCAAAAATAATGACAGATATGATGTGTCAGAGGCAGACATAATAAGGCATCCAAGCCTCAGGGCCAGGGTCTTGATTACAGATCCAGAAAGAGTGATATTCAGCACCCAGTGCTGCACCATGAGAAGGGAGTTGTCAGTATGGCTAGAGAAAACAAGAGGGTGTCAGTGGTTTTGGGGCACAGTTTCATAAGCCCTGGGTTTCAGACAGCTTGTGTTTCCAACCACTCATTCTCCTCTGACCTTTCCTTCCCCCCTTCCCCCCTCCCCTCTCCCCTGCACCTGTGTGAGTTTGTGGGGCTGTGCTGTAAACTGGATCACTGAAATGATCTGAGCTTAAAATACACCCCTTAACTCTTTACACGGTTATTTTTAACCCGGATCATTTCAGCCTTGGAGTTCACAGCATGGTCCACCACGTGCTTGCCCTGCTGTAGTGGAAAGGGATGGAAGGGTGACAGGAGCAGCCTCAAGCACAGAGGAGAGGGCTTCCCTTTAACTGCTCCAGCCAGAGCCTGAGGAAATTACGTCCCTATGAGTCCTCCTGTTCTGATAAGACAGAAAAATCGTATTTTTGCATGCCTGCTGGTAGAGGCTGGGCTAGTCTGCAGCACTGGTGCAGTCTGTTGCCACCCACCAGAGATGCAGCCAAGTCCAGGCCATGACCTGTGAGCCACCACAGGGAGCATATCACTGGTAAGAAGTTGCCATTAAGCACCTGGAAAACACCCATAAATACTGTGGCAGCCATCCCCAGCAGCCCTGCTCCAAATAACAACAACCACAAAATGTAAGCAGGTTCTCTATGTTGCATGGCAGAGGCCAAGCTCTACTCCTGTAGGACATGCTGAGCTAAGGAAGGGATGTGGGATGCATCTGTGGGGAGGAAACTCCTGAAGTCAAAATAAACCATCACCACACTCTGCCTGGAGGCCAGCAAATGGGAAGCAGTGCTGTGGTTTCACTGGGATTAAAGCATCAATCCTGACCAAGGCTGGATGTTAGGAGCAAATGAAGCCTCTTGCAGACTCTTGCTTCCCTGCTTGGCTCAGCTCTCCCAAGGCAAAGCATTCTGCACAAAGCCTTCCCAGGACTGACCCTTCTCATTTTTCAGTGAGGTAGCTGCAGGATCTGAGGAGCCAGCCAGCCACAGACCTTGTCTACACAGGAAAGCTTATACCAAACTGAGCTAACTCTCCCAGCCTGCAGGGCAAAACACAGCTTTAATCTGATAGAGGTGCTGCTTTTCTGCCTAACTCAACTCATTTGCAATTGGCTTGGCTGAAAGGAGCTGTTCTCAAGCTCGCAAGTACCTGATTCTGACACAGAAAGCAGCATTTTGGGAATGACACAGTAAATTGCATCAGGGAATAAATATGGCTCCTTTCAGGGCTCCCCAGGGGTTGGAGGGGGAGAATGTCACCTACTTCTGCA